TAATCTTCCTATTTAGTTGTTTTACTTGCTGTTTGTGTGTTTCTTTGTGTGATTCTATGCTTAAAACATTGAGGACAATGTTTGATTTAAGTGTGGGGGGGTAACTAAGTGTTTTTCATGCAAATTCATGGGATTTTATCACCCATTATTTCAAAACTTGTTCCTTGCTGTTTTTAAGTGTTTTTAAGCAGTTTTGGTGTGTTTTAGTATGTTTTGAAGTAAAAATCCGAAAATCAAAGAAAAATTTGAAAATTTTGTTTTAAAAAAAAAAACCCAAAAAAGAGTGGTTTTTGTGTGTTTGTTTGTGTCTTAGGGTACCTTCCAACACAATGATGAGGATTTGGTTTTTAAATACATGGCTGTTAAAGAGAGTGATTAACATGGATGAAAGTTTGATTTACTCTATGTTTATGCTTGGTTGTGGTTATAACTTATGAATTCACATGCAATCATAAAAGAAAAAAAATCAGTTTTTGTAACATGCTTGAAGGAAGGAACTCAAATTAACGCTACAACCTTGTGAGACTTGAGCCTAAACGTTTATTTGGAGAGTTAAAATCTGTGCATTCTTTGTTTTCTAAAATCGTTGCATGATCTCATTATTCTTTGCTTGGTTGCTACTTAGAAGGCGTTTCATCATTTAGTTCCAAACACTAGAAGTCATGCCCATTTCATTCAAAGCATGGTATTGATTAGCATAACACATATTCAAGATGAAGTTGTGTAGTGACCACCACTTTAGCCAAAAAGCCGTGTGCCCTACTCCATTATATGTTTAGGTGTTAACCCCATTGAGCCTTGTTTAGCCTTTTCTTTGTTAACCCACATTACCCTCACCTAGCCTAGATTAGGACTATCCATACCCTCGTTCTTAAAGTATAGTAAGCATGATTCAAATGGAATTCCTTTATGGCAGAAACCAAGTGTGGGGGAAGTTTTTATTTTGAGAATTATGTGCCATAAGCACGGGTAGAAAGAAAAGAAAAGAAAAATTCGTGAAAAAAAAAAAGTATGAAAAGAGTTGAACAACATGAGAAAAAGAGTTCCAAGGTGTTGTTTGTTGAAGAAAGGGTCCAAAAAGTTGAATTCGGCCCCAAGAAGTTGTTTAAAGTCTTCCCCTTGTGTTTTTAAGTTAATTTCTGCAAACTAAGTGAATTCTAAGTCTTAATTTCATTACTTTGCTTACTAATGCTTGAAGAACGTTTGTTTTCCCTATCCTTTCTTTGTTAACCAATACCCCAAGCCCCGTTGCAACCCTTAAACTTCTATCTTGAGTGTTATGTGTTTCAATTTGTTGAGTTTGAATTTGGTATGAGCATATGGTGTCACTGGTTCTCGCATCTAAGTAGTAGCATTCCATTCATAAGATCATATCTAAACATGCCTATTAACTCCGGAAATTGCGTTCTTTGTGATACATATATGTGAGCATTCGTTTTTATATCTACATCAATTCTCTCACATATAACTAGTATAGGGTGTGTAGTTAGAAAATCTGAGTGAAAATAGAGTGCAAATCTATTAAGGATTGAGGGAATTCTCTAAGGCATGTTACTACATTCAAAACATTGTTTTAATTGGTTAATTGTGAACTAGTAAGTAGTGACTATGATTAAGCATGTGCTTAAATGTTAAATTGACTCAAATCTGTGGGAATGATAATCTTTAACATGTCATGTGCATTGGAAATCCCTGAGGCAAACGTTGGAAGGTTTAGATTATGTTTGTTTGTTTTGTCTTGTTTTATTTCTTTGTTTTGCTCGAGGACTAGCAAAAGCTAAGTATGGGGGAATTTGATAGGAGCATTTTTATGCGACTTAATTGGCTTGTTCTCATGCATTTATGTTGTTTTTCCTTAGTTAGTTTAGTGTTTAAAGTCATTTTCGTGCAATTTCAGGTTTTAGTGTCAAAGTATGCAAAAAGAAGCAATTTGGAGCATTCTAGAGCATTTTTGGGCCAAGATTGGATAGTGCAAGCATGGAGGCATGAGGATGGACGAATTTGAAGGCTTGAATTCAGTTAGGGAGCTGCAAGGGGGCCTAAAAACCTTATTTCTAGAAGGCTTTATCTATTCACACATGGTGCCTAATTTCTGTATTGGAAGAACAAGCCGTCCTAGCTTGTCACTAGCCGTCCTAGCTTGTCACTAGCCATCCTACCTTGTCTCCTAGCCGTCCTAGCTTGTCTCCTAGCCGTCCTAGCTTGTCACTAGCCGTCCTACCTTGTCTCCTAGCCGTCCTAGCTTGTCACTAGCCGTCCTACCTTGTCTCCTAGCCGTCCTACCTTGTCTCCTAGCCGTCCTATCTTGTCTCCTACCTTGTCCAAGCCGTCCTACCTTGTCCAAGCTACACACATATATCCTTTAAGTGTTTCATGTATAGAATTTCTGGTACAAAACCTTTTGGTTTCAACTAAGTTCTAAACCTTTCCTAGCCCTATAAATAAGGCTTTGCAGCAAGGCACTAGGGGGATCACTCATTCACCCAATTTTCGTCCATTCATCTAGCCACACCACTCTACACATCCTAAAATCCTAGAAACACAATTCCAACCAAACACTACACCTTGCCGTGCCTATCCTCCATCCAATTCCATAATCCTTGATCCTAAAACACATCCCAACCACCCCATCCACCTTTGTGCCGTAGCAAGGAGAAAGAAGGAAGGACTCTTGGATGCTCAAGCTTCGTCGTTGGTGCATTCTAGGTGTAATTCGTTTTATGATTTCAATGTTTAATTTATTTTCCTTTCATTTTGCTATGAACATGAGTGGCTAAACCCCTATTGGTTAGGGGTGATTTCGAAGCCATAACTATGTGTGCAAGTTGATTTGATAAATTCCAGTTATGAGTTCTTGAATTGTGAATGCAATTGGCTTAACTGTGCGAGTAATAACGTATTTGTGTTTGTTAATTAGGGGTCGACACTTAATTGGCTTGCATGAATATGATGCTAGAATATAAGTTTGTTTCACATAATTGTCACACACTTATATTCACAAGTAGTGAAGGTTGCTAGTCACAATCGCGTTAAGTTCAATTCCTAGCATAAGTGTCATGATGTCATAGTCACAAGTGCTTTGTCAATGCTTATAGTTTTCATTGAACGTAATGATCTTTGATTGTATCTTTATTATGATGTCATGTAAGGAACTTTTGAAGAATGCTTTGGGTTGTCGTATGATGTCATCCAATTCAATAACACAAGGAAAACTTGAGAATTAACTAGTGATGTCACGGTTAATTTGGGGCATTGTCATTCATAATTCTATGAAGGAATAACTGGAAATCGAGTCATTTGCATACTTGTCATGTGTGGAGAAAGAACCCCTAACTAGTCCATCATCCATTAAAAACCCCAAAAACGTTTCAAAATCAGTTTTACCTTGCAATCTGTTTTCTCAACTTTAATTTCGTCCAAATCAAATCCCCCTTTACTTTGAAGTCTCAATTTAGTTAGAAATTGTTTTGGTTCATGTTTTTAAGTGTTTTGAGTCAAGTTTTCAACCAATTTCGTCCAAATTAGTGTAGGTGCTCAAAACTGCCCAGAAAGTGGTTTTTAGGCAGTTTTGAGTCTTCTAGTTGCTGTTTTGAGTTTTTGTTTTGTTTTAGTGTTTTAACTTTAGTTTTTCATTCTTTGAGTCCAAATTAGTGTTTTTAACTTTGTTTTGGAGTTCTTAGGTCAGTTTTCAAGAGTTTAGCAATCCCTCCTAATCCCCGGTTTTGAACGATCCCTACTTACATACTTTGCTACAATTGTCAGAAGAGGGTTTAATTTGTGTGCTTAATATATTTCGCATCAACAGCGCGCTCAACGCGACATCATCAAATTTTACTCCTCGGCCGAGCTCGGCCGACGAGTTGGCACGCCCCACATTCAACCGAAGGACGTAGTTAGTTTATTAGTTACTCGGCCTGCGCGCCACGTAGGTTTTGTAATTTTTAGAGTCAACAGTTCCATAACCTCCTATCCCTAACTTGCCCTATCTTGGTACCTTGGTGTTCTCGAAGACTTCTCTTAGGACAAGATCTGAAACTTGAAAGCTTTGAGATTTGACCCCCTTTGTTGTAGTACAACCTCATCTGATGTAGATAAGTGACAAGTCATACTTTGTGTTCAATCCAAAGTATCTTGCCTCATGGTGGACGAGTAGTATCTAGTTGCTAATGCCTTATGCCCGATGAATCTTCCACCAGAGTGATTTTCACATATGGTAGAATAGATGTCACTCAGGATTTGTAAGCCATTTCCAAAGTTACACATAGCGCGTGAGGTCGAGAGCAAGACGGCCGGGAGAATCCTTTTGGACTAATCTTGGCAGTCATCAGGAAACTTCCCATCTTGGATGTAATCAATGATGTCGTCCATCCAGTTTTATCTTATATCGACAGCAGCCATCTTCAGTTCCAGTTCATGGACGCTCGCGGTGGCAAGGCATTCAAATGGAAATTTGGTCGAAACGAGTAAGCCATAGTAGATGCAATATTCACGAGTGTGTTGGCATGATTGTTTTCATTTCTGGGAATTTGTTGAGTTTCGTACTTGTCGAGTCCCTTGAGTGATGTTTAGGCCTTGACCAAATAGAGCCCCATAGTTGGAGGGTTGAGTCGCAGTGGATCGTAATTTCTTTCAGTTGGAGTTATGCTGCTACCCTAAGTCCAGCGAGCAGTGTTTTTATCGTGGATCTGTTAAGGATGGGACATCTTGTCTAGCTGGAGTAAATTCGGTGACTAAGTCGGCAAGTTCGTGGGCTTTAATTGAAATCTTTGCGCCGATAGATGATTTCGTATTATCCTCCTTCGATGACCCCAAATGATATTAAGGTTCTAGCATCACCCGATGAGGATAATTTTGGTGTCGAAAGTCCAACGAGTCTAGAACACAGTAACAATGCTACTGGCAGATTTAACAAAAATTGTCAAATTAATTTAGAACGTCACATTACTACTCTTCTTGGGGGATTTGATTTGTAAAGTTTAACTGCTGCGGATTAACGAAAATTAAAGTAAAACAGAGATACTTCATTTCTCAAACACCATTTTTTTTTTCTTTTGGGAACCGCAAATACATCGGAAAGTAACATAGAACCACTTCATCGATCAAAATTATCGACAACAAAAAGAGACACCGACACCACCACCATTGCAGACAGACAAACCAACAACCTGATCCAAACCCTAACCCTAACACATAACCAGAGACAACACACATTCCAGAGCCCCAAATACCCTATCTTACCCCTAATTTAACTCCTCCAGCTGCCGCCCTCAGCTCCACCGCCACCCCTGGAATAGCCACCCTCACCACCTCCATATCCACCCTCACGACGACCACCGCCATATCCACCACCGCCACCTCCATATCCACCGCCACCTCCACCTCCACGGCTGTAGCCGCCTCCGCCGCCTTCACGACGACCTCCACCTCCGTACCCGCCGCCGCCTCCGTATCCACCACCGCCGCCTCCGCGGCTGTAGCCTCCTCCGCCAGCGCCACCCCCAGATCCGCGAGACTGAGCCTCATTGACGGTGATGTTGCGGCCGTCGAGGTTCTGGCCGTTCATGGCTTCGATCGCATCCCTCATAGCCTGCTCGTTGCCGAAGGTGACGAAGCCGAAGCCCCTGGACCTCCCAGTCTCACGGTCGTTGATGATCTGAAAACACAAGAGACCAAGGATCGCATCAGATCCACACATCCACACAGTAATTATAACAAAAATTAAAAAGCAATAAAAAAAAAATAAAATGGAACCGATCGATCTTCAATCTTTGGGAGAGAAAGATTGAGATGAACGTACCCGATCTTGTGAGAGTAATAATAAGAATCATAGACAGTAACAGAGAATCATAGATCAAGTAACACATAGAGAAACAGAATCAGATCAGAGAGAATAACAGAACGCCAGATGGCCGAGGCCGAATCGGGTCAGATCCGATCTCTCCGTCAAACGGACCTTCGATTCGATGATCTCACCATACTGAGAAAAGGCCCTCTCCAGCGCCTCATTGTCGGTGGCCCACGCGAGCCCTCCGACGAAGCAACGGTACTCGATCTCCGCAGAAGCCATGGCTACCAGAATCAGAAACACAAAGAACCTGTAATTTTAGGAGAAAGGTAAAAGAGAACGAGAGAGCACGACGAACGGCTACCCCCGAACCCTGATTATATAGGGTCTCGAGAGCCCCCTTGCCTAGGGTTACGATTTCCCTGCTGTTTGGTTACTCGGATTCGAGGTCCAAGCCCACGGTGTTTGGTTACACGTTTTGCGGTTCCCCTATCCCTGAATACTTTGACACGTCGTCGGTTGGTTTGTTATGATATTTTTTATCTTTTGTTTGGTGGGGACGGTTATCACCGTTACCAAACGGGGATCTGATAGAGAGGTGGCTTTTGGTGCGTTGCGGAACCCTGATTGAAGGGAGTGAGACGGATTGGGTGTGGGTCCGCTCGTCACGGTATTAGTTTAGATATTTTGGTGGCGCGAAAAATATCTTGTTGGTGGAAGTACGGCGCTGCCCCTCGCCTTTAACGCCTGTACAATATTTTGCTCACATCACTCAGCCAACTTTACTGTTGCAAAGGCCTTCTAAAACAAGTCACTATTAAATAGCTTTTAAGGAATAATAACTGTGTTTTGCATTTCCACCTCTACACTGAATAGTCATGACAATAGATAATAAAATATTAGTATTTTTTATTTTATAAAATAATACAAAATAATTTTATTTGTAATTTTGGATATGATTTTTAATCGGTTGTACCACGTGTCATTAAATAAAAAACTATAACCTAAAGTATTTGAAAAAAATATAAAATTATGGTGTAAGCTGGAAGATAATGATAACATATTTAAAGAAAAATTAAATCAAAATTTTTTTTAATTTTTAATTTTTTTTCGAATTTTTATTAATTTTTTATTACTTTTTTACTTTTTTTAATTAATTTTTTACATTTTTATTACTATTTTATATTTTTATTAATTCTATATTGTGGTTGACGTCACCCTGACGTTAGCCATTCATCACTTGGGCCTCAAGCTCTCGGGGTATGGATTTGTGCCTGGCCTATCCACCGGGCCTCCCCTAAGCCTCATTGCCTGCGTGGGTTGGAGCTAATTGCTGGGGCTATTGCCTCATTTTTGTTGCCTGTCCATCGAGCCAAATACACCAGTGGACTTGCTCTTATTGTCCTTGCATAGGAGGAACTACCTTTTTATGCTAATTGATATTTTTTAGAATTTATATACATAGTCGGCATTCTAACATAGTGAAGTTTTTAATATACTAAAAATGCTCCTTTTTTCTAAGATGTATTTCAACTATTGGAGTAAAACTCCAATTTTAGATTTTAAACTCACCCCGACTTAACCCTTACGTCAAATATGAGTTTTAACCAAACTTATTTCTAGGGCAAATTTAGCCCAAATTTTCCTTTGGGTTAGTGAGGCTATTGAAGAATTCTTGTATTTGTCATAAACCTTCTTATGTTCAACTTATAATTTTGGTAGCAAATTTTCACAATCTTCAGTCTTGACGAAATTGTACTTACAAAACAAATAAACATCTTTGATTTATGACCAAAGGCACACGCGCCTACAAGGTGGAGGAGGGGGTTGGCTAATGGAACTCTGATATCTAAATCAGTTTCTCTAAAAAGAAATAGTTTATAGCTTAATTGCGTAGCCAAAGCTTATCAGAATTTGATGGAGAATGGCGTATTTATAAAGCTAGGGCCGGCCACAAGTGTAGGGTTTGCCCTGACATGTGTCATCATCTAATTGGCCAAGTGAGTCATATGTTGGGTGGGTGGGGAAAGAACTACTGCTAAGTAACAAGAATGCCCTTACTTGATGGAGAATGAGATTATCTTGTAATATCATTGATTAGATATGATTGTGATTCCTTACTTGAAGGAGTTGACCTTCAATTAGATAGGTATAAAGATAAGATCTAGTAATTAATCATATCTTTAATACATTTGACTTTTCTTCTTACCATAGGCAGGAGAGCTTGATAAGGTTGTAGTTAGCTTCTCAGTATTCAAGAGAGTCGAACTGCGCCTGGAGTGGATGTGGGCCTCGCCAATTTAATGTGGGCATTCTTGTCACTTGTGGATAAAAGTTTGTGTTTTAGCTCAAAAAATCTATATTATTTTTTGCTCCACAAATGTCCCCACACTTTATGTGTTGTACATATGAGGTTTAGGAGGTGTAGAAGTATAAGTTGAGCAAGTCCACCAAAAATGGGTTCTTCAGCTGTATTGGATTCTAAGCTCTGACTTGTAGTAAAAGTCTTTTTAGGATATGGAGTCCAACTGCTTATAGAATTTATTTAACTCTACCTTAAGTATGAGATATAAACATAGAGAGCAGTTTTCTTCCAAACAAGGAAGAGAGAAAACCAGAGGAAATTATACCTCATCCCCCAATTTTCTTCTTTGCTTGGCCCATGGAAATTCAATTAATCTTTTATGACAAGTTAATTTTCACAAATGAATTTTCTTAGTGTGGGAAAAACAACCTAACTCAAAAAATTGATTGAACTATTCGCGCTAGGCTAAAGAAAATCAATTTTTATCCAAAATCAAGTAAAGTAATTTGAACCAAATTGAACTCAAAAAATTCATCTCCAAATGATCTTGTAAAAGAGTTTTTATTATAGCAAAATGAATAGCCACTCTTTAAATTTAGATTGCAACTATTCACTTTCTAAATATTAAAAACATAATAAAGTGCTACCATAATCCTTTTCGAAAGCTTTTATCACGAATGGTCTTTGAGATGAACAGAAGCCATCAAAATTTGGTGTCAATGTGGCCATTCCCTCAATTTGCTTTAAAAATGCATGTTGCCGCTACATCTCCACTTTTTGAAAGCTTTTTTTCGTCATCTTGGCCCTACACATTACTTTAGATTGACCCCTACACATTACTTTAGATTGACTTACCGATAAAAGTGGGTTCGGTTTGGTTTTTCTTCGACTCTTTTGATTTGGTACATGCTTGGTCGATTTTTTTTAGTTCGGATCGGTTTCAGTTTCGATTTTTTTAAAATAAAAATAAAAAAAATTGGAAATTGGCTTTGTCTTAGAAAAGAAAAAAAAATGAACGAGATCAGGTAATTGGCAGACCTTAAGCCCACCCCTTAAAAAAAACCACTCCAGCTTGTTTCAATCCACTAGGCTCTTGGGAAGCCCAGTTGTAACATCCCACATCGACCAACAGAGAGGGGGTGATGTGCCTTATATGTACATGCCCACTTCCATATAGCACAAGGTCTTTTGGGAACTCACTGACTTTGGGTTCCATCGGAACTCCAAAGTTAAGCAAGTTCGGGGCGAGAGTATTCTCAAGATGGGTGACCCACTGGGAAGTTCTCGCGTGAATTCCTAGAAACAAAACTATGAGGGCATGGCTAGGGCTCAAAACGGACAATATCGTGCTACGGTAGAGTCGCAAATGGGATGTGACACCAGTTGCTCACCTAGTCAATAATTGATTGACCCATCCCCTAAGGGCAGTGACACAAGCTAACTTCACGATGACGTCAGCCACTATTAAAAAAAAAAGAAAATTAATAATAATTAATCAAAAATACAAAAATTATTAAAAAATTAATTAGAAATACAATAAAATATAATTTTTTCCCTATAAATGCCTAACCATGTTCTTCCACCTTACACCATATTTTCAAATACTTTCAACTAATCTTTTATTATTATCCGAAATTAAAAATATTTTTTATAAAATAATAATATTTTAATACAAATTGCGTGAGCTATTAGTTTAGGAGTGGAGATGCCCAGGAGTAGTTACTATTCACTTCGGGGGATTGTATTGACTATTGCCCAGAGGTTTTTATTTAATGGTGGAAGTGCTCTTAAGATCATGGGAGGAAGCATGGACGGAGCCAATGAAGATCCATTGGGGGCAAATGCCCCCACTAAAGTAATTCGTTGGTTAAGCTACATACTGCAATTATACACACACACACACACACACATGTTATCTTTGAAGAAAATATATGTGTCTAATATCAAGCATACCTTCATACTACTTCTACTCTATATCAAATATAATATAAGGAAAAGTGTTTTTGTTCTGTCATTCAAACCGAAAAACTCCTCTTCCGCCTCTCATGTATAATGTATACCTCATAGTTTTATAATCAATTTGCCACTTTCCACTACTACAATAAAAATTTTGTAACATTGGATTGAGATACATCATCGTTTGAAATCATCCCATTATCGTATTGGTATAAACCATACTATAACAAGGTTTTTTTAGTTGTTTTTCAAGTTGCCCCCAGTAGAAGAAATTTCTAACTCTGTCCCTGGAAGGAAGCAGACACCCTTTAAATCGTTCAAAGAGAGTTGTAGAGAAAAAAAGAAAGAAATAAGATGGGGTAAAAGGAAAGTGGTGGCAGAGGGATAAAAATGAAGAATATGATAGGCTAGGGTTTCCGTTTTCCTAAGAATAAGACATTTAGACTTTCGGCCCTCAAGTTGGGCTTATATAGTCTTTTGTTGAAATTAAGATCGGGCTTGGAATATAAACACTCATCCTAAATAAATACAATAATTTATGTATATTTAATTCGGTTTGGTTCAGTTCAGTTTTTTTAATTTTGGTTCGGTTTAGGTTCAATTCGATCTTTTTCGTTTCAATTTGGTCAACGGTTCGGTTTTTTTTTTATATTACTAGCATATGGGCACATACAAAGAGTGAGAAAATTATATATTTTTGTTTTGAAATAGAATGAGAGAGAAGGAGAGTGATAGAGAATGTGAGAGTGAGAAGTTTTTTTATTTTTTATTCTTTTAATTAGAAATATATTATGATTACATGTAGGTGATGCTTTGATAAAAAACAACAAAATTTGGTTGTGCAAAATTATATTTCTGCCCCATCTTTCTTATTTATGTTCTGTTTTAATTAGATGATTAAACTGATAATTTCATAAAATTTTGGTTGATAATGAGTATTTTATTAATTAGTAGAGATTATTATTGATTTTTCAAGCCCACCACTACTTACCGCACCATTTCCCTCCACTTTTTCCCCCTTCCCGTTGAAATTGGCGGCAAAATTTAACAAAAAATGAATTTCTAAAAGCTAAAACGCCTTTTCTCGTTAAAAACTC